ATTGTTCATTTTTGGAGGAATAGAATGGAAAAAGCAGAGAAATGACATTAAACTTACACTGTGGATAATTCAATTTTCTAAACAGCAAAAACAAATACAGAGGCACTGAAAGATGCAAAAAAAAAAGAACTATACCACCACTGAGACATTTTACATAAAGAAAAATTGAACAGGTTGGGTTTTAAAAAGAAGATATGTAATTTGATAGACTTAAGTTTTTTTTTTGATAGGGTGGACATACAGAAGAAGTTTTCACTTGTGGGAGAGACCAGAACAAGGGGCATAAATATAAGATGATCCATAATTTTGAGAGGAATTTAGGAGAAACTTTTGAATTACAATGTGGAATTCAATGCCACAAGTAGCTGAGGCAATTAAATCAAGTGGACTTAAGAAGCAGCTTGCTAAACTCATTCGGGAGAAGGATATACAAACAGTGTCAGGAAGAGGTTTAAAACTATCAACAGTGGCATAGATCTATCAGGTTCAATGTACAGCATCTTCTATGTAACCATCATAAATTCATCTACAACTCCAAGTCACACAACATTTTGGTTTTAAAATGTTTCTAATGAACAGATTTAATGATTAAAGAAATAAAGATAGTGGTCAAGATATGAAGCTTCATACATTTGTCCGTTAGTCTATCATACTATTTCCTTCATCCACATGCAACACAAGACTGGTTCTGATTGAGATTATTTAATCCTATACAAAGTAAAGTTTTGGTTAAATGTGATCAGAAAGGTTTGAATCTCAGAAAACATCAGCAGTCATGAAGCAAAATGCTGGTATTAGGGTTCCCTGTGAACTCTGCATTTGTAACAAACAGAATTATTAATAGATGAACTTCACAATTGTATACAAGAGTGCAATTTCTCATTTTCACCAGAGAATTATACAGTTAGTTCATTTTAATGTTAGAATTCTCTCTGCCAGCCTTAAAATATGAATAATATTAATATTTATCTAGCTTTTTTAAAGTTTAAGAGAAAAGAGATCCTGGCCAATTTTCCCCTCTCTAGCCTGGGGCAATGAGGTCAATTTAACATTTCTGTTGTCACCTTGGTTTAAATTAATTGACAGCACAGATCAGGAGTCAAACTGAGAACCCTGGCACACTTGATTCAACTACATGATGTTTATTCAATCATGGAAAATTCTGGCCTTTGAGAAAGAATATTAACCAAATAACCAATGGTGTTATTCTACTATTTATTGAAGTCAAATATTTACACTCATCATTAGCAGTTCCTCATCACATCCATTGCAATTCCCCGTAGATTATTAATTAGGTATTTCAATGCCACCTTTAATTTTCTTTACCATGGTGATACTCGATTAATTACTTGTATAATATGGAATACTATTGCCTCGAATGTTAGTATACAATTTTAAAATTTGCTTATAAATGTCCTATACAAGTGCACTTTTTCTTCAACTAACCACAGTACTGTAATAAGTAAGGTAAGGTATCTGATACTTTAACAAAGAATGATAGTGTTTCCTGATTATTTGAAATAGTGATCTATCATCTATCATCTAGCATCTATTCAGAGGATTTTGCCACTTATTTTGCTGCAAAGAGGATGCTGCTCTCAGATCAAAAACATTTTCTGTCTATTTAAAGAATTGAACAATGAAAGCAAAATACTGTGGATACTGGAAATCTGAAACAAACAGAACGCTGGAGAAACACAGCAGGTCTGGCAGCATGTATGGAGAGAGAACATTAACTCAGTTTCCCTCTCCACAGATTGCTGCCAGGCATACAGAGTTTCTCCAGCATTCTCTGTTTTGTTAAATAATTGAAAAATGGTGTTAATGAATTTCAGAGCTAATGTGGTATCAGGTAAGTAGGCCTCAAGACCCAACAATTGCTAATTGAATCAAATGTTTTCCTTCCATTTGTTCAATATAGACAGATTTCAGACCATTCTCAACCATCCTATGCATGGAAAACCCAAAACATCTATAATTAAATGTGATTTCATGTTTGTTCATCAAGTGCTGCCCAGTCCTATGTTCTAACATACACTAACAATCAGTTCAAGATAATTGGTCATGCTCAAAATATGGACCATTTATGTTTGATGGAAGCAACAAATAAGGTCAAGCCTTACATCTGTTATGAATTAGCCTGAAGCATGAAGACCCCATAGTTTCCTGGTGCAGTCCTCAACACCTTACCCAATCAGATCAGCAATGACTTGTTTATCAATCAGCTTCAAAAATCTCCTGTGACATAAATCTAGCATTTTTGCATTTGTCCCGAGGAGCACAAAGTAAAAACTTCCAGCAATATCACTCTTTTCAACATGAATTTTAATTTTCTTATTGCCACTTCCATCTCTGGACTGGGACTGAATCCATATTCCTCACGTGTAGCTGGAACTGCTTTTAGGAGTGCTACTTGTTACAGCAGGTGATTGTAAACAACAGCATTGAGCAATTTGATTTTTTTTTCCCTTTAGACTTTTGACAGAATGCTACTGACCTAGAGGTGACCAAAGTACGAAGATGAGCATTCACAGGCAGCTGAAACGAACCAGGGACCACAATTTTGTTCGGTTGTGAAACTTGAAGTTAAGTAACTTGGCTCATACAGCAAAAGAGTATCCCCATAGGATGTCAGTGGTATTCTCTCAATTCATAGCTACATAGGTCACAGCATCGGAGACCGCTCACTCAGCTGTTCTGTGCCAGCTCTTTACCAGACCAATCAAAGTGCCCCCACTGCCTTACTCTGCCTCTTTATTAGAAAAGGGTCCCTTCTGCTTCGCATATTTATCTGCTCTTCTATTAAAATATGCAATGGTCTCTGACTCAATTACTCCCCCATGGCAAATCAGTCCATGCATGAACAACTTGCAGCATTAAAAATCTCTCTCAATGTTTGACCACACTTGGTGATGATTATCTTCAATTAACTTCCCTGCCAGAGAATTTTTCTTTTCCCTGATCATCAGCTCTCTGATTCCAATGATGAACAATTGACTTTGTGGCAGTAATCTGAACATAAATATATGTTGTGTGTTACATTTTGGTGGAGGTTTAGTATTGTTATGACTAATTTGGGATGGGGGAGGTGGAGGGGTGAACTGAATCCTTTTTTTAAAATCACACCTCTTCACAGTCAAGGTTTGAATTTAAGAATGGAAGTGATATTGCAAGTATTTCTCAGACTGTATATAGCACAGTATCAGAAACAAGTCAGCCATATTCTTTAAGCGACAAAGAACTAGTTTACTGCAAACAAAAAAAAAAAAAAAAAAAAAAAAAAAACTTACTGATGCAATGATGTAAAGATCACTTCACAAAAGTTTAAACCATGCAAATATTTAAAACTCCCCTGCTTGGAAAACACACACACACAGTCTCTCCAGGTTTGGGAAAATCTATAAAACAAAAACTGTGTATTGTGCTATCTTAAAAGTACTATGGCTGAAGTAATATTTAAATTCAGGGAAAAAGACCTAGTTAAAAAAATTGTCCCAAATGCATGTCTGCGGCCAAAGTCAACTTTCACACAAGCACTGGATCAGTTATGATTGGCTGACATCGCTTTTCTGGTGAGTGCAAATTTTGAATTCTCCTTTCGAAGCTCCCCACTTTAAGTGTTGAAGCATTCCAGTTGGTTAAATTCACAAACTTTGATGCCGAAGGTTTCAGAGAAAGGGAGGTGTGGATAGAGAAGACCAATTCCACACTGTTCAAATACAATATTTTCTTTTCACATACAAACTGTGATGAGGCATCTCTGAAAAATTTGTACACTTAACGTCTCCACTCATGCAGCTTGTTCCATGCAAGTGGAATATTGATGCTGCTGTAGCCAGTGTTCTTTGGTTTGTAAAATATACTTCTAAAAAAGTTCAAGATAAACCAAGTTTATCAAGTTCTCACTAATTTCCCTGCTTAATGTCATTTTGTTTTAATGCTGCTTATCCTTTTGGGCCCTGTTTTTCCAACTGGCATCACTATTTTCCTTTTTTACATTGTTTACATGTTGTTATTGGTGAAGTTACCCATTGGTTTTGAAGATAAATACTGATGTCTTGATGAGAGCTCAAAGATGAGGAGGTACTGGAGGTCTTAAAAGGTAGCTAAATCTCCAGGACATGATCAGGTATTTCCCAGAACTTTGTGGGAAGCTAGGGAAGTGATTGCTGGTCTCCTTGCCAAGATACTTGTATCATTGACAGTCATGTGTGAGGTGCTGGAAGACTGGCGGTTGGCTAATGTGGTGCCATTATTTAAGAAAAGTGCTAAGGAAAAGCCAGGGAACTAAAGACCAGTGAGCCTTGCATCAGTGGTGGGTAAGTTGTTGGAGGGATTGAGGGACAGAATTTGCATCCATTTGGAAAGGCAAGGACTGATTAGGGATGGCTTTGTGTATGAGAAATCCTGTCTCACTAACTTGATTGAGTATTTTAAAGAGGTGACAAAGAAGATTGATGAGTGGTAGAAGTTGTCTATGTGGACTTCAGCATAGCATTCAACAAGGTTATGCATAATAGACTAGTTAGTAAGGTTAGATCACATGAGATCCAAGGGAGCTAGCTAACTGGATACAAAATTGGCTTGAAGGTAGGAGACAAAGGGTGATGGTTAAGGCCTGTGACCAGTGGTGCAACACAAGGATTGGTGCTTTTCATCATTTATATAAACAATTTGGATGACAAAATAGGAGGTACGGTTAGTAAGTTTGCAGACGGTCAACTCAGCACAACAAGATCTTAATCAGATGGGCCAATGGGCCGTGGAGTGGTAGATGGAGTTTAAATTAGATAAATGTGAGGTGTTGCATTTTGGTAAGGCAAACCAGGGCAGGACTTATACAGCTAATGGTAGGACCCCAGGGAGTTTTTCTGAATAAAGAGACCTACGGGTGCAGTTACATAGTTCCTTGAAAGTGGAGTCACAAGTAGACAGGGTAGTGAAGGCAGCATTTGGCACGTTTGCCTTCATTGGTCAGTGCATTGACTATAAGAGTTGGAATGTTATGTTATAGCTGTACAGGACACTGGTGGGGCCACTTTTACAAGGATGTTGCTGGGACGGGAGTGTTTGAGCTACAGGGAGAGGCTGAACGGACTGAGGCGTTTTTCCTCAGATGCATTTGGATATATACATACACATACAAGTATGCATAGATAAAGTATTCATCTGCATTCAACAGTATTGAACTTAGAATGTTTATTTAATATACGGATCTTATGCTTTTATTTTTACATTGGAGGTCCATTTGAACGTTTTGAAGAAATGAACAGATGGCCACCAGTTTATGCAACTTCAAAGATTGCATCATATTACGCTCCAGTGGGTTTGTTCATTTAGTTGAGCAATGGAATCTCGTTATGACTGCTTGGATGAGTTCCAAGCCCTATTAATGATTTAGCTTAGCAGGTGTTATTGACATAGCTGTGAAGGGGACTGTGTGTTTTGTTTGATTGACAGTTTTATGACCAAATAATAAAATTGAAGTGTTTGGAAGAAATTTTTATTTCTTATTTTAACAGAGCCATGAGCACTTAAAAAGGAAACATTTAGAAGGGAGCTTGAATGGCTTATTTTTGACAATTTTGAGAGTTTTTATAATAGGATTAAAGTGTTTTGAAGAGGTTTGTGGATGTCTGTTTATTCTGACAGCTTCATGAAAAATTCAAAGATTTCTCAATGTTATTATAGGGTTTAGGAGTTCTGTCCATACTGGAAACTAGGTGAAACAGTATAGAGGATGCATGGCAAGATCAGAGATAAAGACAGTATGGAGGGAGAATGGTACTGTCCCATGGTGCCAAAGTGCATGGAGGAACATGGAGAAGCAACAGAGAAGGTGAATGGGACGGGATAGGTGGGCGACTGAATGAGTGAAAATGATACTACATTGTTGAAAAGAAATTAATATTTAAAACCTACAGAACATTTTCTGAAATGTGTTTTCTTTCTTTAAACAAACACAAACATAGCATTTTTTCCTAGCTACCATCAGTTCTAAGGAAGGGTCACCGAACCTGACTTCTCTCCATAGATACCTGCCAGAGTTGCCAAGTCTTTTCAGCAATTTGTTTTTGTTACGAATATAAAATTTCTCCCCCTTAAATTTTTCTATTTATTTTGAACTACTGTCCTGCATGCTATTTGGAAAATACAAGGGAACCTTATAACTAAGCTATGTCTAGACCCTGAAAATAACTCTGCTGATGCACTAGCCCAAAAAAAGTATTATCGTCTAGATCATGGATTTCTTATTATTCATGCTAATTACAAATAAATTTTACATTTAAATGAATAAAAATACAAAGGACAGGTACTTACATTTTATTATCTTTGTAAGTTTTGTTCATGCTATGTTGATTGGGAAGATTTCTACATTTAGGTATCCTATAATAGTGTCAGTGGTAAATCTACAATAATGCCCATTGCTCATTATTTAGTCTACTTTTGTTATTCCATGTCACCAACACCTCCCCACTTAAACTGCTTTTGTTTTAAATTAAATAAAAGCAAAAGAACAGCTAATGTGCACTACTGAAACAACATCAACCACCTTAGAAGCCTGTCTGTTTGACCCTAAAACAGTTATTCCTATTGAAAAATTTGGCAAATCCAAACTAAATACATTCATGGTGGTGGACCAAACAAGAAGTCTGGTTGTATTTAGGCTTGAATTGTAAATTTTAAGGGAGAAATAAGCTCAATAATTCCACAGTACGAACTTGTATAGCTGGACTTAAAAATACAATTTTTCCAGATGAAAGCCGAAGTTTGTGGATATATAACCAGCCAGATGTATTAAGTGGTAGGATCAGACTGTTACAAACTCTAAATGAAACAAAGAACTGCAAATGCTGGAGATCTGAAACAAACAAAAACAGGAATTGTGGAAAAACTGTCTCCGAACCACTGAAGAAGGGTTACAGGGCTTGAAATATTCTCTCTCTCTCCCTCTCTCCCCCTCCCTCCATAGATGCTGTCAGATCTGCCAAGTTCCTCCAGCAATTTTGGTTTTTGCTTGTTACATTATGACAACCTTAGGCTATTGCTTAATACAACAAGAAATTCCTTTGCTAACTATCTCACACACTAGCACTGCTGAGATACAATTTGTCAAAAGCCAGTTGAAGCATCGACATAGCAACACATTAGCCATGTAACACAGTGCTCCAATCTTTAGAAACATTTGTAAAAATCAATTTCTTCCCATGAACAATTAAAAGCAGAAATTTTTCTTTTTAAAACCCCAAGCTTATGGTCAGTATTTGTTCCTTTTACAACAGGGAAGAGATTGTAGCTTGCACTTGGTTTGAGTTAGCACTTGGGGAAGTTATAAACAAACAGTCAGTCATATGTGGCCCAGAGCATAAGCAGGCTAGCTCAGGTCAATTGGTGGTTGTACTTTAATATTTGTTCATTTACAACTTCTCCAGTTTGAGGAGCTGGGTGTTTACATTATTGGTGACATCATTCTGAATCAGAAAATGGGATCTTTAACGTCTGCAAGATGAAATCCATACAAATTACCAGGTATATTAATTAAAATTCTACACGTGCTCTCAAAGCTCCATGGTATCTTGGACATCCTCATCTATAATCTTTCAGGCAGTAGAAATGACTTTAAAAGTAATTATAAAATGAACCACAATCACAAACTTTGCCGTGATGCATGTAAATCAATTGTTTCGACAATATATAACCAGTAAAACTAAGGATGGCATTTGATATCGGCTGTCACAGCCAGGCCCACAATCAGTCTCTAAGCAGCAGGAAAGCTGACTGAAATGGCACAGGAAGGCACTGATTTGAGAAACTCTTCCACAGTAGACATCAGTTAGGCTCAGGGTTTAAAACGAGGGCCACATGACTTTCCTGTGCCCTCCAATGGAGGCCCCAAAAACCTCGGTGGCTGGCCAGTGGCCAATTATCAGGTCCCTTTGTTGTTAAGCACTCAGTATCAGTAAATAGGTCATGCTGGAAACCGTTCCTTTCCTCCATGCTTCTGGGTCTCCCTCCCTATGACTACAATCTTGCCCTCACTTATTCAAGTACCGGGATTCAACAATGTCCTCTAGTGAAATCCCTGCTCCTGGTGAAAAGCTGCCACAGCTGATTGGGTAACAGCTCTCTGGGGCTGTGGTATCCTGACAGATTTGCCAAGTTCCTCCAGCAATTTCGGTTTTTGCTTGTTACAGTATGACAACCTTAGTCTATTGCTTAATACAACAAGACATATTTAATTTGGCCAGTCCTACCCCAGGGAGTTGATATAGATTTCGAGAACCCTGTCAATAACATTAAATCCAGCCCCAGGTTTTAAGAGAACCAATTAAAATGTATAACTTCTCATTGAGAGGCTTGTCATGGAACCAGCGTACAAAAAAAGGAAGCAAACATAAATCAAAATATTGTGGCAAAATGTAAGCATATAAAATACCATTAAAATGGAAACAAAGAGGCATCATCCTTAAAGTGAGTACTATTTGTTCACAGTTAAACATGTACTTTGAATCCATACCAATTATTTGTCCATTTTCCAAAATCATAAACTTAGCATTTCTTATATCATAAAATGTTCCTTTCATGATTTCTATTATACATCCTGCCAGAGTGCAGCAAGTTACCTGTATATGTAGCAAAAATCCAACTAATTATTTCAGATTATTGTTGCCGTGATCAGACATTTATTAAAAAAAAAGTCTATATATGAACCAATATTTGATGAATGAAATTACTTGAGAAAACTGAATAAAAGTCGATGATTTTTCTTTTGCTACATATTTGGGAGATGGAACAGAACCTCTTGTTCATGACGCTGATGTGCTGACAGTTCTAAGAGCCCATTTTCAAAATTCAATGCTTCTCAGGCCCAGCAAATCTGGTGGAGCATTACTTAAATGACAAGTGTCGTTGTAATATTACTGGACTCAATCTGCTCATGCTCTGAGGACATGGGTAGATCATGGTAGCTGGTGTAATTTAAATTCAACTAATAAATCTAAAACAAAGTTAGTCTCAGTAATTGTAATCATGAAACTATTGTTAATTGTCTTATTTTTAAAAAATAACTGGTTCACTAATATCCTTTAGGCAAGGAAATCTACAATCCTTACATAGTCTGCACTACATGTGACTTCAGAGCCACAACCACATGGTTAACCCTCAAATGCCCTCTGAAATAGCATAGCAAGGAGCAATTAGGGAAGGGCAACAAATGCTCACCTTGCTGATGTATTGACATTCTGTGAAAGTAAAGAAAGAATGCAGATGAATAGAACAACAACATAACACCTTTGTCTCATGTCGAGAATAGTGGGGGAAAAAATAACGGAAAAAGAAAAGCTGCACCAAAACTGAGCATAATCTTAATGCTTTTGCTCAAGTTAAGTGTGAGCTATTGTAAAATTTGGCTGTTTTCATTGTAACAAACATTTCCTATCCTCCCCTTTATGAACAACTTAACTACTACATATGTTAGTGTTCTTAATTTCCACAATCAATGGATCTAAAGATCTATACTGGTGACTGCACTAATTCCATGAATTAACAGAGTAGGACCCAGGTTTTTGGTCATTATGTCAAGCTGCTCCAGATATCTTTCATGCAATGCAATATTAGCAGGAGGTCGTGGCAGGTAGAGAAATCGGATAGCTGGATGGGCACTCTGCTCTAAAATCATCCTGTTTACAGCCATCAGATAGTCATCAGAGATTCTCATTGCATTTGATGGGAAGTTATTTGCAAAACTACCATCACAGCCATCTTCAGGAACCATCTGTTTGTGCCAGTGAAGGGCAGTAACACTATCCCAGTGCAGAGTTTTAATCGAACCTTTGATACGCAGCTGACGTAAAAGTTGTTTTAGCTTTTTTTCCTGCTCTCCAACACTATTTCCAGATTCAACACACAGAAAAATACGCAGTTTGGCTGACCTCCAGGAGCGCACCATGTTAAGAATACATGCCATTTGTAACAGAAACAGGCTGCAAGTATCAACGTAATTAGCACTGTCAGGGCGAAGTGGATTGAGCGGCCACACATCAATGGAGACCTCATAGTTCTTGCAACCAAACAGTTCTGCTTTGTTTAGCTGGCAGAAGTATCGGGCTAAACAAACATTTTTTAACATTTTGATGGAATCAGAAATAATGGCCACATACTCTTTGCCTGACAGTGCCTTTGATGACGATGCATCTCTGGCTGGAGGAAAATTAGGCTGCAAGTTGCAATCTTGTCCACTTGTGATAGAAGACCTATTACATGAAAATGCTGGAATTTGTTCTAAACCATCCTCAGGAGCACAGTCATCATAAAAACCGAGGATAAGAGTATTTGGTCTCATTCCACCTATAAAACAGAGCAGAAAAAACAACAGTAACTTACTGTACTACAATGACAAGTATTGATACAAGTTCATTCTCACTGGCTACTAACAAACAAACTAAATTCAAATGAACATTTGTTTAAAATGAATTGCTATTTTATGGCTTACTTACCTAGACCAGAGATGAATAAAAGATGTTGAACCCCATGACGTACTGAGTCAGAGAGCGTAAGGCTGACAAATGATTTTACATTCAGTGCATCAACTAAACTTAGCCAAGAATCATATTGTGCTTGAAGAGGGTCAGAAGGCATCTCATCTATAAAGGAACAGAATATATGGATGAAAGTTAGTGATAATATCACTGGATTTTATAAAGATCTTTACGTGCTTTATATTTATACCAAAAGAAGAAATGTTTTGAATATTTGTTGAAATGCAAATTGAAGTCACACCAGATTTTGCATACCTATTTTTAAAATGATGTCAATTTTTCGAGAATGAGAAACATTGTAATGGAATGATTTCCCCTCCTGGCTACTGCTGAATTATTGGTATTCCCAGCAAGATTAATGATCACACTTCGTCGCCACTGCAAGGCACTGAACTGACAACAGGGCTTAAACACCATGACCAAACCAGGCAGTATTATTTGTTTTCTTTAATATTAAGTAATTGTACTAAATATTCAGTGACCTGTGTTTGCATTTCTACATGGTGGTTACAAATGCTCTGAAAGCAAATGAGTTGTTTGATGTCAGGTACCCCAGCTCAGCAATGCTCAATCTCCTTTCATCTGGCCTCTGCACCAAGAACTTTCCAATTAAAGGATACCGGTTCAATCTAGACACCATGTGGCCTGTGGTTTGTCCTACAATTCTCAAACTTGACTGACCACCATCCATGTGGTTTGCTGGATTAATACATGCAATAGCAACAATTCTGGAAAGATTTATATTTCTTCACAAATCAAGTTATCAAATCTCAGCTGCATGATGAAATATATTTTAAACAAATGTAATTTTGTAGAACCTGGCTCAGCAATATAAACGGTGCACATCATGTTGTCACAATAAATCAGCACAGACAGTTTCATATGCAGCGAGGTTATGTATAAAATGCAATGTGGTAATAAAAGTACATTTCTTGTTTTGGAAATGATTAGTTATTTGCCCTCTGGTCATTCCAGATAAAACAGATGCTTATTATTGACGTAATCCTTAAAAATAATGAAGAAATTAGCTCAATGTCAAAGAGTTGTGAGATAAAGGAGTAACATCTATTTTCAGCAGGTATAGCTGAGAGAAATATAAACAGAATGGGGGATATATAGGCTGACCATTATGTCTCTCGAAACGGATGATGTGCTTGAGGTTTCTAAAGACAGCACCTATTTAGTTAGGGACAAGGAGCAGAGAAGCCGTTGCATATTACAGGCAAGCAAGTAGCAGGAAAGAAATAGAAAGCTAAATTTAGGGAAATTTTGGAAAGATGTGAAAAATAGAAGTTATGGGAAACTTCATTTATTGACCTAGGAGAAAGAAAAGAGGAAAGGAAAAAGGGAGATTCCCAAATATTTGAGCAAAATAAACTTAATTTCTCAGCTTGTTTCTGCACAAGGAGAAAGGAAGAAGCAGTGTTGGATCACCCAAGGAATGAAGTGGGCAGATGCTGGAGAATCTGAGATAACAAGGTGTAGAGCTGGATGAACACAGCAGGCCAAGCAGCATCATAGGAGCAGGAAGGCTGATGTTTCGGGCCTAGACCCTTCATTTGATAGCTGAAATCAAAATACTATTAAGTTTAGAATAGTTTTGGAAAAGGATAAGGACAAACTAAGATGATAATATTCCAATGAAGAAGGCTCATTTCAGCGAGTTCAAAAAGGTGATGGGAAATAAATATTGACAGATAAACAGCAAGTAAGAAATGGCAAGTTTCAGAAAGGAGGTACAATTCAGGGACAAATTAGACACCTTCCTAAAAGGAAGAAAGGAAGTGTATCCAAAACATTGCAAACCAGCCATCCAGCCAACAGCGGTAGAAGCCCACAGAATTGAAGACAAAACACTGACATGCTGGGAAATTGGTTGAGTGGCAAGCAACAGAAAGTAGGGACAATGGGTAGGTACTGAAATTGGCAGGATGTGACCAGTTGTGTCCAACAAAGATCAGTGTTTGGGCCCCAGTTATTCCCGTTATTACTTGGATAATGGCATAGAAGTCATATATCCAAATTTACTGATGACACAAAATTAGGTGGCAGTTAATTGTTAATGTTAGTGACACCATAAAATTAAAAAGGGATACTAATAGACTAGGTGAATGGACAAAACTGCGGCAGATAGAGTTCAACGCAAGCAAGTGTGAGGTTATCCATTTTAGACTGAGAAAGGACAGATCGGGGTACTTTCTAGATTGGACAACCACTGTATTTAAGTTCATACAAAGAGATTTGGGGGTTCAAGTGCACAGACATTTAAAATGTCACAAACAGGTGCAGAAAATCATCAAGAAAGCTAATGGAATGCTGGCCTTTACATCTAGAGAATTGGAGTACGAGGATCATAAGTTATGGTGCAGTTACACAATACTATGGTTAGTCCTCACTTGGAGTAATGCGTGCAGATCTGGGCATCACACATCCTAGCAAGGATATATTGGCCTTGGAGGGGAGTACAACACAGATTTACAAAGAATGATACCTGGACTTCAAGGGTTAAGTTATAGGAGAGATTATACATATTAGGTCCATTTTCTCAGAAGTTAGAAGGTTAAGGGTTGATCTGATCAAAGTCCCCAAGAGATTAACAGGAAATGACAGTGCAGATAAAGATAAAATATTTCCACTGGTTGGGGATTCTAGAACTAGGGGACATAGTTTAACACTTAAAACTAGACCATTCAGGAGAGATGTTAGGAAGCATTTCTAAATGCAAAAGGTGGTGGGTGTTTGGAAACCATTCCCACAAACAGCAGTGGATGCTGGATCAGTTATTAATTTTAAAATCTGAGATTAGCTTTTAAGCAAAGGTATTAAGGGATATATGGGCCAAAGGCAGGTATGTGGAGTTAGGCCACACATCAGCCATGATCTCATTAAATTGGAGGGCCTGAATGGTCTACTCCTGTTCTTGTATTCCCTATGACCCCCATTCCTGATACTAGAATAGTGAAAGATGACAGGAGGGAGTATTTCAAGCATTAAATGAAGACCAGAATAAAACAGGTGAACATCAGTAACCATTTGAAAGAAGATCATGGTTTGTAAATGACAACGAACAAAAATTGTTAAAGGCAAGGTGCATGGAGGTTGAAGGTGGTAGTGGAGTTTATGTTTTGTTAATGGACCTCCAAAAACCATTTAATAAAGTGCAACATCATGGAGAATTTGAGAATCACTATATTACATGGACAATGGCAGAATGGATACAAAATTAGCTGAGAACAAAAAGCAGAGTGCGTGGTTGTTTCCTACACTAAAGTGAAGTGGTGACCCCACAGATTATTGGAACCACTGCTAGTTTTAATATATGTTAATGATTTAGCATTGAAATAATTTCAAAGTTTGGAAATAAAGAAAGAAGTGAGAAGGATAGTTTCAGTCATCAGGAAGACCTACACTGTTGTCAAAACGCAAATGAAAATTGCAGAGAGCTGATGCATTTTGGAAGGAAAACAAGGAGAGGCAATATAGCTGGTAGATTTTTAATGTAGAACCAAGAGAGATCAAGGGCTCAACTTTGTTAGTCGAGCACGTTGATAAAGCAATGAAAATATATAGGATATTTAGCTATGCAAATAAAGTCAGAGTACAAAGTGATGCTAACGTATCTTGAATCAATCATTAAATCTCAGCTAGTGTCTGAATCTGGGCACAGCTCTTAAAAAGGATGTCACAGGCTTGGAGAGAGTGCAGAGAATGATATTAGGATGGAGATAGTTCAGTTGCATGGAGACATGGGAGAAGTCTGTTTGTTTGCCTGCATGAGAAGGTTAAAGGGAGTTTCAGAGCGTTCAAAATTGTGTGGTATCAGATTATGAAGATGGTTTTTTTCTAATAGAAAGATTTATCGTATTCAGAGGCCACGTATTTAGGATAACGATAAAAAAATGCCAAAGGGAACATGAAAGAGAAAGCTATTTACTCATCAGTTTGCCAGTCTGGAATATACAGTCTGAAAGGGTGGTGGGAGCAGATTCAATAGCAAATTTCAAAAGGAAAGTGGATACATACTTTATATCAAGGTGCAGAGCTGGATGAACACAGCAGGCCAAGCAGCATCATAGGAGCAGAAAGGCTGACGTTTCGGGCCTAGACCCTT